CTTTATTTTAAATCGTTGCCTCCCCCAGAGCTGGGAGAATAATTGGCCAGCCTGTCACGAGACAAGCAAGAGACCTGGGGCCCCCTGCCATTGCCAAGCTTGGTTCACTGTGCCCTTGGCAGCAAGTGGTTTCTGCTGTGCCTGCTCCCTCACACCCTTCACCTGCCCTTTCAGAGTCCTGTTCTAGTGTCCACACCTCCTGCTTCACTGCTGTCCCATCGTTGGTGTCCACCTCTTTGTCTCACACATCATGGCTGCCCTGCTAAGCCGAGGGGAGAGCTAGAGATGGGTTGTAGGCCCCTGGTGAGACAGGACTTATCCAGACAGGCTGCCTGGTAGAGGAAGCAGGGCTTTGATGCATAAAAAGTCTTCCTGTGTGGGGTGATAGAGGCCTGCACAGGCAGAGCTTGGAGGTTCCAAATCCCTCACTGCCTCCCGGGCCCTGACCGCTTCTGAGCCTGCTCCAGTCTGCTCCAAACAAAGACCCTCTCCCTTCCCTTCTTGCCCCTCTGCTGGGTCCAGCCGCCCACACCTATCCATGCCCTCTGAGGGTGAACCTGCCGTGTCACCTGTCTCTGGTTTTTTTGATTTGTTTAATTATAGATGAGTTTTCTGCATAATTTATTCCAAAAGCCTGGATTATACTGTACAATTAAATCACATTCTGATCAACAACTTCACATATAAAATTAACAACTGGCAACAGTTTAATCTATGCTGCTGCATCTGCACATGGACTTTTTCATTCCCTGCCCCCCTCCATCCCTCTCCTCTCCTCCTCTCCTCCCTGACCTCCTCCTGCCTCCCAACCCCTTGGAGTGAGCCTTTGCAGCTGGCCTCAGAGCTGGAGGCCCCCACCTGAGTGTTCTGACCTCCCAGCCTTCTAGCTGGGGTCCTCATTGTTCTGTCTGCTGAAGAGATCCTTGGCCTCAGCTCCCTGCCGCACAGACGATTTTGCTCCCTTGCCTAGTGGTGATATCCCCCCTCCCTCCCTAGTCCTCTTGATTCTGGAGACCAAGGCCTGGCATCCCACAGCACATGGTGTCCTCTTTACTGTTGGCCTGCCTCAGCCCGCCATGCCTGTTCTGCACCACTCCCCCTCCAGCCACCTTCCCCTAGGGGCAAGAATTCATTGAGGATTTTCTGAGTGCTCAGTGGTTCCTTAGATCTTGGAGGGAACGGCTTTACTGGATGAGCTTCTTGTCCTTAGAGGACTTCCCAGTAATAATACTATCCATCCAGGTGTCTATGTGCATTTGTCCATTACAGTTATCTAGCCAGTCATTATTAACCCTGTTGACAGATGGGAAAGCTGAGGTTCCGAGGGGTCAGAGCTCTCCAAGGCTAGCAGAGGTAGCTTCTCTGAGTCTTCTCAGGTTGCCTTGTCCTGGAAGTAAGGGCTCTTGGGTTTAACTGAGCCAAGGAGATGGGTCTGGCTTCTCTCTAAGTTTATAATCCTGTATCCGTCCTCACCAGGGACGTCAGTTTTCTTGTCTATGAAATGGGGCTGCAGTGCCTTCACAGCCCTAGTTCAGGCACACTGGATGGAGGACAAGGCTCAGCTGTCAGCCTCTCACACCCACACCAGTGATGAGGCGCCTGCAGCCTTGGCTGCACTTTCTCCTCCCAGACGCTCTCTCCCCTCACTGTCTTGTTAATTTGGCACTTACAAGTACTTAGAGATAAGCAGTGTCATCTCGGGGAAAAGCATGGAAAATCACAAGGATGTGGGGAGCTAGCAGGTAGAACTTTCTTTTGGGAGTATGACCCATGGGCCATACCATCTAGCCAGGAGATACTGGCAAAGCCAGGAACCCAAGTTGATGGGAGCCTGGGCAGAATTTGGTCAGTTTGTCTTCAACCTTCATGGATCTGTGAATCATGATGCATCTCTTGTTCTTCCCAAACCCCCACACCCTTCTGTGCAAGTGAGGCCGGCTCTGCCTGCTAAGGTTGGACTTGGCTTGGTGGGTGGCTTCTCCAGCCACTGAGGGAGCATAGTCACCTCCTGGCCTTCTCGGTATCCATGGGTCACGCAACCCTCCACCCCAACCTGGTACTGGAACACTGGTCAAAACCTAGAACCCACAAAGTCATATCTCTGTGACAAAAAAAATGAATTATCTGTCATATTCTTTTTAATTCTAGGACACGCATAGTGCCTTTCTAATTGGGTTTAAGTGAAGAATCAAAGTAACCAGTTTCCCTTGGCATTGGGCAGTGAGCTGGGGCCTAGGGTCTGCCTGTCAAGCCCAGGATGCCAAACTAAGGGCTAGAGCCACACCTTGAACACGGGAGGGTATGTGTGTGACCAGACATATCAGGGCAGGCCACTCCTTGCAGCCCATAGCACGAGTCTAGAGTCGATCAGCCTAGGGGTGAGAGTGCAGAGACTGTGGGTAGGGGGAGTAATTGAGAGAAAAATAGAGAGACTAGGAGGGACAGGGAGTGCATATGTGTATCTTGGGGAAGGAACTGGACTTCATCTTGAGGTTTGGTTCTTCTAAAAATGATTTTAGTGTTGAAATCGACTTTTTACATGAAACAATGGTGATTACATTAATATCGTGTTGTCTGAGAGAGAAAAAAAATACTTTGCATCCATGTCTGTACTCCCAATTAATTTTCTTTTACTTATTTGTGAAATCCCAGAAACAGAAACCTATAGGCATACTAGAAGAGTCCAGGGCCTGGGGTGGAATTAGGGGTGTGCTAGTAAATGTTATCAGGTTGCTCTTTGGGGTGGAGGGGACTGTAATTTCTAGCGTTTGCTCATTTCTGTAGTGTATATGTTCCCAATGTGAAGAATCTCAAGCCTCTAAGGTGCTGGCACTGGGAAGAGCTGGGAAGAAATGCGCAGTCTGCTGTTATGGGTCTTCTCTTGAGATTCTAGCACATTCCTGGGACAAGTCCTGTGTCCACCCCTTCCTGGATGAATGACCTTGGACAGGTCACTTAAATCCTCTGAGCCTCAGTTTCCTCATCCGTAAGTTGGGGATAATAATATTTACCTCTTTGTGAGGGTTGAAGTGAGAGAGTGTGTGACAGGCTGGCTGTTCTTTGTATATAGTGGGTGTCCTCTCACATGAAGATTATGATTGGCATTTTGTCCCCTAGACCAGTGAATGGCTGAGATCAGAATTAGGGCCAGGGCAGAGCCAGTGGTTCCCTTTGGAGATCAGATCCTTGACCCTGCCCATTTGTCTGCCACCTGCCTGGCTGGGCATAAGGCTATGTGGCAGTTCATCCCAGTATTAGCCCCCAGGGCTCGGCTGTTTTAGGATTACAAAAGAGCCACCTGCCACATTGTTCATCCACAGCCAGGGCGAAGACATCAGTGCCTGGTGGACAGTGGCCAGGCTAAGAAGGCTTTCTATTCTCTGCTGCCCCTTGCCGTCCTCAGACTGGCAGCTAAGCCCGGTTGCCCTTCTTAGCCCTGCCTGCAGCCTGGCCTCCACCCTTTCTCAGGGTTAGAGTCCCCTGTGGCGGGGTGCGGAGGTGGGAATCAGGCTGTGGCCCAGCCAGCAATAATCTAAAGCTAATACTTCTTTCTTTTGATGTTGATTTTTTTTCCTTCCCCATCATGGTCCTGACATTCAGCTTGGCAAATTGCAATTAGCGATCTGCCCGCCTCCTGCTCCGAGTTCCCATGCCAACCGACCTGGGCACACACAATGGCATGGGCCCAGCCCCCCACCACCACCAAGACACAAGCCTAAAGAGGGATATGGGGCAAGGGGCTGGGGTAGAAATTGGGGCTCTTCCCACCCAGGGACCAGAAGAGAGTCCTGGCACTAGGGGAGGTGGCAGGCTCAGAGGTGTTGCGGCCAGATGCAACCCTCCTGGCATCACTACCCCTGCTGTGCCATGTGGACTGTGCTTGACTCATGTTTATTTAAATCTCTGTGGTGACTCTCCTACTGTTTTCCATGGAAGGGCCTCTGTGAAATGGGAGTGTGTCAAGTAGAAGGGGAAATTGAGGCACCTTTTCAGACTCATAAGGGCAGGACGCATTGGTCCCAGCAGAGAGCATCTTTAAGTGGTGTGGAGAACATCTCTGGCTGGTCTTCAGTGAGAGCTCACCTGATGGCACTGTCTGAAGGGACAGTCACAGGTTTGAACCTGGGTGAGGCCTCTCCCCAGATACCTTCCTTTTCCTGGGTGTAGGGTGGAAAGTACAGAGCCATGTGGCCACCTGTCCATCCTTTACCCTCACAGATATCCCTGTACTGTGCCCCTGGCTCTTCTGTTCTCATGGGCTGTGTGACACTGTAAGAAGTAGCCCCAGATGATTCTCATATTCTAGAAGAGGAAGCCGAGACAAGGATGGGTTAAAGCCATCCTAGAGGGAGGGAGACCAGCTCAGTCTTGTGGCTCAGTTGAAGGATTCATTGGATTTTCCAGTCTTCCAGAAAGTGGCAAGACCATCTTCACTGCACCCATGGATGGGTGTATGCTGGGCATCCAGTGATTAGCTTTAAATAAGCATCTGTCTACCAGGGTGTGGGACAGATGAGGGCCATCTGAGCTGGAAGAGCTCCATGTGTACTGCTCAGATGAGGCCCAGAAAGTCAGGGACCTGCCCCCAGGTTAACACAAGAGCTTGGTGGTGACAATAGTATTTCCCCCCTTTCCCGGACCCCACCTGGCTCCCTCATGCCTTCCTCTTCCTTGGTGTCCAGAAGTCTCTATGTTCAGAGCAGCTACATCAAGGACTGGCTCTTCATCGTGAAAAATAGTCTCCCTGCAGGCTTCCCTCAGCGGATTTAACAGTGCACTCCTCTCTCCTCCTTGACTGCCCCACAGCACCTGAGGAGAGCCTAGGCCACTCGACTGGACTTCAAAGAGAGGTCACAGGTGCACTCCGGTTCCTTGCCTCTCTTTCTCCACTAGTGAAAACTGGGTTGAGTGGCTGCTCTGGTCCCCCATGAGTGGCAGGGGCTGGGCTGTCCCACCTCCAGTGGACCCTCCTAACGTCTCTGTCTTCTTTCTGTACACAGGATGCAGCACTGGGCCCGCCGCCTAGAGCAGGAGATTGACGGTGTGATGCGGATTTTTGGAGGTGTCCAGCAGCTCCGGGAGGTAAGCCTGGCACTCTTGCTTTCCCTTCGTGGACCCTCTTCCAAGTAGGAATGAGGAAAGCGTTCATAAATAAGAAGTGTGGAAGATTTGGCATTATGGATGTCCTGGCATGGTAGGGTACCAGTGGATCCAAGGCAGCAACTCCTCTAGGTCTCAGTGCACTTTTCTCCAGGCAACTGTTGGAGCAGTGGACCTGTGGACTCTGATGTCCCTTGTTTTGGGGAGGGTGTTGGGGTTTTCCAGATTTCCAGGTGGATGATCTCTGGGTTTGAGGTAGCACATGGGCTGAGAGCACAGGCCCTTTAGGGGCCAGTGAGTGTGTGGGGAAGCCCAAGGGACAAAACATGAAATGAATGAAAATGGCCAGGCAAAAATCTGGGAAACCAGCCTGGGGCCAACCCTCTAGCACTGAGTAGCCCTTGAGGAAGCAAGCCGGCCTTTCAAGGGATGTGACATCAAGGTGCAGGAGGGGTGATTGATTAGGTGCCAGAGACCACATTCATCCTGAGAGATTATGTTAATGTTTGAAATAGTGATGTGAAGAGCAGGCCATCAGTCACCCCCAGAAGGCTGCAAAGTGTGTTGCTGTCAGGCCACGGGCTCCTAAAGTGTCGCTCTTCATGTGGAAATGCAGAGGCTCAGAGAGCTGAGCTCCTGGAGCAGTGAGGGTGAGATTCCCCAGGAATTTCTTTGCTGGCCTTGGGACTGGGGGCGGGGGTCCTGTCCACAGCTGAGGGGTCTCCTGCCAATAGTTGGCCTGGGAATGGCAGAGAAGACCTAGTTATCTTTAGGGGTTCAGTAGAGAGGACTCTCCAGGCCCAGAGTTCCATGATTAGATGATCTTGGTCAGTAGGGGTCAGTAAATATAACTTCTGGAGGCAGGGACTGTGGGGGTTGTCCTCGGTCCTTCCCCCAGGCTTAGCTTCTAGACAGTGCCCAGGAAATGAGAGTGGTGGTGAGTGTGCTGACATTGCTTGTGGATGTAGAACCTCTGGCACAAATGGGACTAATCATAGGTGGTTAATGAGGGGGTAATGTGGCAGGGGGTCATCCAGGTCCAGAGGTCTGAGCCAGTAGCTTGCTTGATGTCCTCCCCTAGTGGCTCAGGTCTCTGAGTCTCCCGCTCCTGGCTCCTGGACTTGAATTGAAGTAGCCGCATCCTGTTCTTCCTGTGAACTCTCCATGACTCAGCTGTGCTTGGAAGCCGGCAGAGCTTCCAGAGAAAGCTCTGTAGGAAGCTGTTCCAGAACAGGAGTCAATTTAGACTCAAGAATAGCATTCAGCACTAACCAGGTTCTAAGTGGGCACTGCCAAGTGCCACCGTATAGGTTAATGAAGGGATGATGGTTCCCTGGAATGTACTTCATGCATCTTTCCAAGTTTCAAAAATCGGGACATTAGATGTACCAGTTAAGAATCTTCCATGCTTTGAATCCGCATCTTAAGGACGTTGTTTGTTTTGTACTCATGGGCAACTCAAATCCTGAATGTTTGTCTATGAGAAATCAGTGCACATTTCATGCCTGTGACTTGGATCTGTCTGGACCAGTGAGCTTCCTGGATGGAGAGGACCAGAGATGGAGTCCTGGCTTGGAATAACTGACCCTTGGCACTGACTGGAGGATGAGGTAGAGAGGACAGCAGTGGACAGGCTGATGCATAGTTGTTCCCTTTTCTTGAAATCATATTTGACTTTCCTTCATTGACCACTTTCACTCCCAGGATGTGGTCCCTTCCTTTCATATGGAACTAAAGTCATTCCAGATCCAAAGCCTTTCATAACTGATGTCTTCCCTCACCCTCACCTGCCAGCAAGTGACCAAGCTGTCATACAGGACAGCTATGGGACTTTGAACTCCTGCTCTAGGGTGCTGCCCTTCCTCTAACTGTGCTTCCCTTCTTAGTATGGTGGACAGGATGAGCCTGAGACAGCTAGATTGAAGCAGGGCTCTGCTTGGTATGGCAAGCAGGAAGGCAGGCAGAGAAGTGCTGACCCGGCGTCCACTCCTCCCTGCAACCCCTCCACTGCCCACGGCTGCCAGCTCTCTGGCAGCTCTGTCCTGCTCCAGTTTTTTTCTCACCTGCTTCCTCAGCTTCTTACTTCCTGCTGACAGCTCTGGGGCTGCTTCTTGGCACAGGGCACTGTGACAAGGTGCGCGGGTGGGGGTAGAGACATGGGCCCAGATGTAGAGTTCTAGAAAAAGAGGGCAATCCTGTGGGAGCAGGAGGGAGCTGGCAGTAGGCTCCCTCTTTTCCCTGACTCACACCCTACCCTGACCCTCACACCACTTTTCTTCCAGTGCACCTGAGAGGGCCCCTATGCCCAGCTCATGCCTGATTCTGACAGGTCAGGATGATTCTTGGAGCAGAGCCCTGACCAGCTGCCCATAGTGCTGTGGACCCTGCCCCTCTACAGTCCCCTCTGAGCTAATTCTGAGCTGCCCCCCAAACACCTGCAGCTGGGGTGATTCTGGCATCTGAGCCCCCATCTGAGCCTGCCTATCCTAGCCCTAGAGGCTGCCCCACCCCCAGTAGCTTGGAGCCTTGAGGGCTGGCAGCTGCAAGAGAGCAGAAACTGCAGACAGTGGCATTTGGGAGCATTTTCCTTGCCTTGGCATTTTCCTCTTCCCGACCTTACTACAACCCCATGAGGGTATGGTTGGAAGCAGTCTGTGGCCCATTTACAAGTTGGAAGCTATGTAAAATCTTAGCAGAGTGTGAAGGCTATCTTTGAAGACCCCAGAGAATTTTCTCATTTAACCCTTGGGCTAGCACCTAGCCTGAGCTCCTGCTGTGACCTGGTCCTAATGTGCTGTCCTCACTCCCATGCTTAGCTAGACACCTCTGTGCCGCTTCTAGGTACCCCAGACCCACCCCAGCACTGGTCCACTCTTGCTCTGAACAGGCCACAAAAGTGTGGACCCTGAAGCCATCTGCCCTCTCCTTCAGAGGCCCTGGGGCTGAGCAACTCTCCTGAGCCCCTTTTCCACCCTCCCCCATCAACACCATATTGTCCCCATCCTGCGGGGAGAGCAGAGAGCATATGCTTGAGTTCTGAGCTCATTTACATAATGAGGTTTATCAGGATGAATAATTCATCAGGTACCTGGGGGTGCACTGGTAGGATGTGGAAATGGGTAGGTCTCCCATCTCTGAAGCCCGGGTCACTCTGATGGGTGCAGCTAGGGACCTACCACTTCTGGCTTGGTGTCTAAGATTGGAATAACTCTAAAGACTTTATGGGAAAGCAAACCAGGAAGATTATCATCTGATATGAGGAAGAACCAGTTGGCTCATCATTGCTGGGATGGGTTTCTGACCTGGTGAGACACCTTCCTCTTTTTTCCCCTTGGAGAGGAAAAGACCTCTGCTTGGGTTGAGGTAGGGGTGATGGGGAGCTGCCTGTCCACAGCTGACCTGGGAGCAGAGATCTGGGATGACCATGTCTGAGGATCAAGTCTACCCTCTGGGAAGTCTCAATCCAGGTTTGGAACAACGGGAGCTTTTCCCAGTCCATGTCATCCCCCTGTACCTCACCTACCAGTCCAAACAGAAATGGCATATTGCTGTACCCACATTCTAGGCTACTTCTGCCCCCATGATGACTTTAGCTCAGCTACTGCTGGTATATGGCCCTGTCATACAGGTGGGTAAACCAAGACCCTGGCTACCATCTCCACAAGCCAATCCCATCCTGGAGTCCTGGCAAGCCAGCCCTAAGTGGTGGTGGTCATGGTGGCAAGGTGCCAAGGCAGAGGAGCCAAGCTGGGGTAGCGTCTCCCCTGGATTGTTGAGCCTGCCTCCATGAAGAGCAGGACCCTAGGAATTGAAGATCCCCAGCCAGGTCTCTTGATTTCCTTTCCCTCTGTCATGCCTCTCTGGATTATCATGGTGATTCAAGCCCATGGTATCCATGGGCCACCACCTCTAACTGGGACACACCAAGAATGGCATTTCTGAACCAGTGACAGTACCATAGTCCTGCCTTCTTCTGTCTGCCCCTGGTCATCCCTGTAGCCCATCTGGTCAGTGCTCCTAGGAATGCATAATTAATATTTCCGGACGTGATTCCCAGCATGGACCAAAGTCTGGCCAAGCCCAGAGATACTATCCTGTGGGGCCTTGGGAGGCAAGACAAAGCCTTCCTGCAGGTTCCTTTGAGTTGGGGCTCTCCCTGATCCTCTCCACCCTTTTCTTCAGCTCATACCTCTGCCACTCACTGACTGTGGTAATACTGGCTGAGGTTTCGGTCTGTACATCTCTGGATATCTGGGTATTCCAAGAAGTGCCCAGAGGGGCTGGAACAGAAGATAAAAAAGGAAGCTGAGATGCATGGAGGTACCAGGGAACAGAAACAGTCCAGGGGGTCCAGGCAAGGGGAACACAGGTCATGACCCCAGGCCCCTACCTAAGTTGACCCTTTCACCAGAACCCTGTAATCCACATGAGTCCCTGATTGGCAGGCAGTGTCCTTGGCAAGGCAGATCCCCACCCACAAAGGACTGGCATGGGCTGCCTAGCTGATGTGATGAGAGTCAGGCAGGGGATGACAAGGGAGTTCCACCCAAGCCTTCTTCAGTCCCCCACTAGGGCCCCTGCAGTCCAAAAAGTCTAGTCTAGGGGCTCTGCACAAGCTCATCATACAGCCCCCACCCCTACATCCAGCCACCTCCTGGTGAGCCCCAGCAGCACCCTCCTCTCCCCTGGCACCGACGATCAGGATGTGGGACGCGTCATGATGTGGGGAGGTGGGGGGCTCGGGTGTGAAATATGCCGCTGGGTAGGGATTGCTGTCGCTTGCCTCCCTAAAAACCCACATATATTATTCTTTAATGGAAAGTTAATTGTCTTATTATTCCCTCCATATGGTCCTCTTGCTCGGCACCCAGCGGGGATGCATGAGGCTAGGGGGGGCTCCTGGGAGGGCGTCTGAAACGTGATGAGGCCGCTGCTTGAGCATAATTGGGTACAGAGAGGCAGATGCATAGGAGCCTGGCCAA